TTTAACTTCCATTGCTAGAATGTAAGCTCTGTGAAGGTGGTAGGGATATTTACCTGTATTGTTCATTAATATATCCCAAGTGTCTATAACTGGTTTTGATACATTATAGTTGATCAGTAAGTGTTTGATGAATTTATTAATGAGTATGTATGGTGCATGCTTCCATTTCTTTATGTGCCTTTCTCTATTTGGAAACTCCCATCTGTGTGTGTGTGTGTGTGTGTGTGTGTGTGTGTGTGTGTGTACATATATACTATTTTCTTTCCATTATGCATCTCCTCCCCCAGTTATTCTCATCTTTAAAAGCCTTGTTTTAAAATGGTCATCTATCCCGATAAAATTGTTTGTTCCAATTCTAACATTAGTATGTATCATTTTCATACTAATAACAAGAGAATCTGTGTTAAGCACAGCCACAGTCAGTACTTGTCTGCTCAATCAGAGGTTGATAAAGTCAGTGAAAGCTGTAGAAAGTTTTAGGTTTCTTTTGGCAGTCTCTCCACTAGGTAGAAAGGATAGGAAAGTGGTTTGTAGAAGCTGTAAACTAGAGGGGAGTTCTCAAATTTCAAGGTGTTTAAGAATTACCATGGGCAGTTTACTAAAAATTGGGAGCTTGTTAAAAAGGCAATTCCCTTCTTCTCAGCCCCTGAGTTTTTGAATCAGTATGTCCACCATGGGGCCCAGAGTCTGCATTTTCAATAAGCACCAGGGATTTCTTATTCAGGAGAACTATGAACACATTAAAAAACATTGCTTTAGACTCTGAGTATACTTAGGAACTTTATTGATTCACAAATGGAAGAGAAAGGGCAGGACAAAGCAAGAAAAAATTTTCTTGAATAGGTGTTTAAAATATGGAAGAAAACTAGGAAGGAGAACATACTTGTTTATACATAAGACAGCTGTGGACACTCCATGACCTAAAAGAATCTTGAATATTAAGCAATTTATTTAATAATGAAATACTTTTGAAATTTCCAGTGCAAAGATTTCACTGTATTATAAACAGTCCATCTATTACTGCATTAACCATGATTGTTATAATGTTTTAAATTCTATTGAGCCAAAATATGTATCTTACTATAACTTTTATTTATTGGCCCTGGTTGAATTTTCCAAAGCCACACAGAGTATGCAACTGTAGTATGGTAATTTGTGTTAAAATGTAAAAATTAGAAACAACTTAAGATAAGTACTGGATAAGTAAAATTGTGTGTGTCTGTGTGCATATGCACACACATATATACATACTAGTAGATCCACACAATGGAATATTATTTAGCCATAAAAAAGAAGGAAATCTTGCCTGTTTGTGACAACATGGATGGATCTGGAGGGCATTATGCTAAGTGACATAAGATAGAGACAAATACCTTTTGATCTCATTTATATGTGGAATCTTAAAAAACTGTCAAGCAATTGAACTCAGGGATATAGAGAACAGATTGTTAGTTGCCAAAGACAAGGTGGGGATGGGCAAAATAGGTGAAGGGGAAGGGAGGAGGTCAAAAGATACAAACTTCCATTATAAGTCATGGGGTTATAATATATAGCATGGTGACTATAGTTAATAATGCTGTATAGTATATTTGAAAGTTACTAAAAGAGTAGATTTAAAAAGTCCTCATCATAGAAAAAATTGTAACTACACTGGGATAGATTTACTAGACTTATTGTGGTGATCATTTAGCAATATATACAAATACTGAATCATTATGTATATACCTGAAACTAACAAAGTTTCATGTCAATTATACTTCAATAAAAAAATAAATAAATATAACCCTTAACTTTCACAGAAATACTTTAAAATTTAGCCTACTTCTAACTGGTGAAATTTCATCCACCAAGGGAGAAGGATATACAGCTTTGCTCTGCCAGACATTGTTTTTTATTCTGCCCCACAGTAGCTTTCTTCCTGTTCTCCTGACTTGTCTAATTGTTTCCCTCCATCTCAGCCTGTTTTTTCCTCAATACCTTAGGTTTTCCCCAGGGTCTGCCAGTGCAGACACAGTTTCAGGGTTGTCAAGAGAAGAGACCTCATCTTATTCTGGTACATTCAGTTGTACTAGAGTGGCCACTTTCTCCCTATAGATGGGTTAACTTTCCTTCCAATCTAGAGTTTTGATGAGTGTAAAATAAGATGATATATTCAGAAGTGGCTATTAGGCAGAAATATATTTCTTCTTTTTAAAAAAAAATATATATTTTATTGATTTTGTACAGAGAGGAAGAGAGAGATAGAGGAAGAGAGAGAGAGTCATCGATCAGCTGCCTCTTGCACAACCCCTACTGGGGATATGCCTGCAACCAAGGTACATGCCCTTGACTGGAATTGAACTCGGGACCCTTCAGTCCCCAAGCCAACGCTCTATCCGTTGAGCCAAACCAGTCTTGGCTATATTTCTTCTTGCATCTCAGATTTTCCTTCTGGTATCATTGTTCTTATTCCTAAATTGTAAGGTTTTTTTTTTTTTTTTTTTTTTTTTTTTTTTTTTTTTTTTTTTTTTTTTTTTGTGAGGGTCTGTTGGTAGTAACTTTTTCAATATTTATCACCTTGGTTCTCAAATGTAATTTATGGAATTTAGAAATCTATGTTGACACTTATCTCTCATCAGTTTGGCACATTCTGTGTGGGCTTCCATTGTTGTTGTTGAGAAATTAGCTCTCAGTCTTAGTGACATTTTTTTTTAAATGTAGGTTTGTGTCTTTTTTCTCTTACTGTTTTTAGGATCTCTTAGTCTTAGGATTTGCTCTTTCACAATGAACTATCTAGGTTATTTTTTTCATAATGTGGCTGGGTTTTGGAGTTTTGACTTTAAGAATCAGTTTCACAATGAGGTGTCTAGTGTTACTATTTTTTCTTAATTTGGTTGGGTTCTGGAGTTTTAAATGTGAGAATCAGTGTCCTGACATTCTGTTTGAATATTGACTCTCATTATCTGTGTTCTCTGAAACTCTTTAGTTTTTTAGGCTTTCTCACTCTGTTATCTCTCTTAACCTCTCGTGTTCCCCTCTCCCTCGCTGTGTTCTGTGCAGTTTCTTTAGACCTACTTCTATTTTTCTAATTACCTCTTTATCTTTATTGTTGTATAGTCTGCTATTTAACTTCTCTATTGTAATTTGAATTATTACAGTTTTCATTTTTAGAGGTTTCATTTGTGTGTGTGTGTGTATACATATGTGTGTGTGTATATATATATATATATATATATATTTTTTTTTTTTTTATTTTTTATTGATTTTTTACAGAGAGGAAGGGAGAGAGATAGAGAGCTAGAAACGTTGATGAGAGAGAAACATCGACCAGCTGCCTCCTGCACACCCCCTACCAGGGATGTGCCCACAACCAGTACATGCCCTTGACCGGAATCGAACCCAGGACCTTTCAGTCCACAGACCGACGCTCTACCACTGAGCCAAACCGGTTTCGGCTCATTTGTATATTTTTAAGATGATGTTTGTAGTGCCTCCTCTGTTGACTATCAAGTTTCTGTATTTGTGTAGGTTGTTTGTGTGTCCTTTTTGTTAATTGGCATCTCTGTATCTTTGGCATCTGTACCACACTCTTGATTAGTGTGGTACAGATAAAATAAAATAAGTCTTGATTAACTTCCCTCTTTTTCTTCAAAATTGTTTTACCTATTCTTAGCCCTTGGTTTTTTCATATGTATGTAAGAATCAGCTATACTACATTTTATCTTTGTTGTGCCTGGCTTCCTTTTCTGAGCTGCTATTTGCTGTGTCAGGATAAAGTCCTGCTATATTGGTGTCTTTCAGCTTTAATAGTTTTTGGTGTTTGTTTGAACTTCCCTTTGCAACTTCTTTATGTTTTCTTTTCCTTCCTCTGTCTTCTTGTCATTTTTTTCTTATGGTCATTACAAAAGTATTTTAAAGCCCTGGCCGGGTAGCTCAGTTGGTTAGAGCATTGTCCCAATATGTCAAGGTCAGGGCATATATAAGAAGCAACCAATGAATGCATAAATAAGTGGAACAACAAATTGACATTTCTCTCTCATTTTCTCTCTCCCTCCCCCCTCTGTCCCTCCCTCATTCTCTCCATTTCTCCCTCTCTCCCGCTTCCTCCTTTTCCCCCTGCTCTCCCTTCTGTCTCTCTCTAAAATCAATAAATAAAAATAAAAAAGTACTTTAAAATTAAGATAGTATATTGGGGGAGGGGAAACAAATAATAGAAAATAAGATAAAGCAAAAGGTGCAAATCCCTCTGATATCAGTTTGCTGAGATCTTTCAGAATTTTTTCTGAACATGTACAAATGTGAGTTTATAAAAGTAAAAATTGTCATATACATACTATAATATTTTGTAGTTTGCTTTATTTCATTTAGTATTTAAAAAATATTCTTCTATAGCTGTAACACGTTCCTTTTAATGACTGAATCATATGGATACTAACAAAGTTTCATATCAATTATACTTCAATAAAATTTAAACAGTTCCATTTTTAAGAGTTTGTAGATATCTACCTACTTTTTGATCTTGCAGCTTTCAAATACAGCTAATCCTAATCAGCAAAGTAGAGGTCGTGCAGTTTATTTCATATCTACCGAAGGTCTCTCCTCTTAACTCTTTTCACGGGAATTAGTGGGGTTCTGTCAAGAGTTATCCTCTTAGAGCACTGGCATAGACCTTTCTTCAGAGGGGAGAGTTGATAGTTAAGCTTGGTGTAAATCTTTAGTGTGGTCATATCTGTATTTTACTAAAAAGAAATACTCACAGGTGTTTGTTTGTTACATGCAGTATCCTAGAGAAGACTGTGGTGTAGTGTTAGAGGTAGCACCCAGATTGAAGATTATAGAAATGAATGAGAAAATGGAGATAGAGAGCTTACACAGGTCTTTGTCCCAACTTGACTATGAGATGATAAGGGAAGAAGAGAGGCATTTCTTGGCATTTTGCCTTTTGTTGGTATTTTGCCTTTTGAAAGCAGTTAAAGTTGGATCTCTGTGTTATATAATTTTCCATTTTCTTAATTTCCTAGCCTCCACCAGGCAATGTGAAAATGCCGAATGTACCCAGTACACAACCAGCAATAATGAAACCAACAGAGGAACCTCCACCTTATACACAGATTGCAAAGGTTAGTTCATGTTGATGTGTAAATTCATATGGAATTTACAATATCAGTATTATTTACCTCCAGAGATAAATAATTTTTTATTTGTTGCATTCCATATTGTTTAATTTTTAACTTATTTTTGAGTCTAGGTTAGCCACCTTGTGGACTCTATAATACTCACATGTCTCTTTCAGCTTATAACATTTGCTTTATTCCATGACTAGAGGCCTGTTGCACAAAGATTCGTGCAAGAACAGGCCTTCCTTCCCCTGGCTTCGCTCTTGGCCACCCAGGAGCCTTTGTAAGTCTTTGCTCCCAGTGGGAGTGCGGCTACTGTAGCTCCCTCCACCCCTGCCTTCATAGCAGGCATCCCACCCCACCCCGCCTGGCCGCTCCGCAACTGTGTATGCAAATTAACCTGCCATCTTTGTTGGGTTAATTTGCATACTCCTGATTGGCCGATGGGCATCTCAGAGGTACGGTCAATTTTCATTTTTTTCTTTGATTAGTGTAGATAGGCAATTATTAAATTCATCTGTTACCTTGGTGTATAATTTTTATAGTGAAAATTTTATTGCCTTTGGTATCACTTTTTGAAAAAAAAAAATTTCATTGATTTTTTACAGAGAGGAAGGAAGAGGGATAGAGTGTTAGAAACATCAATAAGAGAGAAACATTGATCAGCTCCCCTTCTACACACCCCCTACTGGGGATGTGCCCACCACCAAGGTACATGACCTTGATCAGAATCAAACCTGAGACCCTTTAGTCCACAGGCTAACGCTCTATCCACTGAGCCAAACTGGTTAGGGCTTGGTATCACTTTTTATTACATGATGCCATTACAGTAACAATGACAGAATAATAAATATTACTGGAAGAGCATTATAATGGCTAAGCAAGAGACATTGGTAGGAGTTTGAGAAAAATACAAGGTAAAAGTAGATGACTAGGATTCCTGCTATCACATAAAGGCAGGTGGAGTATAGATCAGAATTTCTGAACCATGTCCTTCTTTCATGCCATTATTTTATAAAATATAAGATGTTATTAGTTCTTGCATTGGGAACCTTATATGCCATTTAACCCAATTCATAAGAGTCAATTAAGTTGCTCTTTTCTCCATTTGTCTGTTTTTAACACTTCCTTGTTTCTTTGTTATTCACTCATTTAAGCACAGAGGTGATTTTCATTTTCCTGATTACCTCAGGACTCTGACCACTCTTAGGATTTTTTTCTGTACTAATGTGCCCAATATTCCCATGAAGGTTTTCATAACCAAAAGAATCAAATATCTATGGTTATATGGATCAAATATCTATATAATATTTTCTGAAACTAAAATCTTCAGTAAATTCCTGTACTTTGGAAGAACATTTGAATTAAGTTTCTAGCATAGTAGAGGGAGAAGAAAGAGATAGCATATCAATGTTTCAATATTTTATACTTATGACAACCTATTCACTTACTATTTTTTGTATAGGAACATGCCTTGGCCCAAGCTGAACTTCTTAAGCGCCAGGAAGAATTAGAAAGAAAAGCTGCAGAATTAGACCGTCGGGAACGAGAAATGCAAAACCTCAGTCAACATGGTAGTATCTAAAATGTTTGAAATAAAAATAACTTTAAACACTTTAGATAATGTCTTCACTGGCTCTAAGTCATTTGGTTTGTGAATAAAATTCTGCCCTGTTTTCCTATTCTAACGAGATCAGACATAGCCAATATTCTACTTGATACTGTGTAGCTCTTTGAAATTGGCTAATTTGCATAGTCTTTTGATAGTTTAGAACAGTGTTAGCCTTATCACACAGAAAGTGAATTCAAATATGATAATTTTGGTTTATTCTAAAGCCAGGAACCTTTGATTATGCACTTGAGCTGTCTTTGCTTCTAATAAAATTTTATGAGTACATGGGACTACTTTTGACTCTTCTAGTTTAGTTAGCCTACCAGTATTTCCAAATTATTTGCTCCTGTCCTCACAAGTATTTTTTATCGTTTGAATCGGGTGAAAGAAGTAAGTCTGTGGTGACTCTAGGAAGCTTCGGGTATTTTGATGATGCCAAAGAAATAAATAAATGCTGAATTAATTATTAGCTATGAAATCTACTCAGGCTGTTATTACCAAAGACCACTTCAAGAGAATATTTTAGGGAAAGCTAGCAGTCTCTGGGTACGAAGAGATAAGAGTTAGACAAGTCATTGTTAGTATGTCTGGGATAGTGATGGGATGACAAGACTAGGACAGCAATAATAAATTATCTGTTTCTTATCTTAGAATGTGTAAACCCAGAGGCTCCTGAGAGTACATGTATCCTAGGCCATTTTCTTATTTGCAACATCAGAGACATCTCTAAAAGGAGAAACTAAAGGTGTAATTAAAAGTTTCTGAAATACCTATAACTAAAAACTACCCTATTTCCTTAGCATTGAATAATACAAGTTATTTCTATGAGAGATATTTTAGTAAGGGTTGAAATGAAGAGTGGGAAATTAAAAGATAGATTTGTAGTATGTTATACGTTTAATCCTCAGTACAGTTCTCTGAAGGGTGGTATAGTTGTTGTTCTCATTTTTCACATGTAAAAACTCAGTCTTTAGAAGCTTAAGTAAGTTGCCCAAGGCCACCTGGACAGTAAGTGGCCAGGCCAGGCATGTCTGGTTTCAAGTCTTGTTCTTTATAGTCATGCTCTGCTACTTCTCAAATAGTGTGAGACTTGTATGAGAAATGCATGAACTACATGAAATTGGAAAAGAATGATAAATAGTGGAGACATGTGGGAGAGAATCAGAAATAGGTCATGCTTTTTCTGCTATGAAATTTTTTCTGGTCTGTAAAATCTAATTTTAAAAGGTTGTGATATTATCATATCTAAAATGATAAAACGGCCTTTAGATGTTATTTTTACTCTCTATTTTTAATGTTTGACTTCTTTAATTTTATATTTTCCCTACTTTCAGTCTGATTTCTTTATGTAGACCGTGTACTTTCCCCCTCACAGTTTGAATTTGTTTTCTTTTCTCCAGGTTTTTGAAGGTGCTATAGTTCCTTAGCATCATGACTCTCTTATGTTTTCTTATAGTTTTGTAATTTACTTATATGTCTTTTGGATATTATTTTTCTGAGACTTTGGAATTTCTGAATTTGATACTTTTGGAATTGGTTAATCGTGTGTTTTTTTCATGATGTTAACAGTAGAAAATTCCAAAGATTCAAAAGCTCGGTCTTCCCTCTCCACACGGGTTAGAAATTAAGATGTAAGACACTGAGGAAGATATTAGAGACATTTAAAAACTGCATGACCTGCATGTGAGAGCCAGTCTCTTGGGACTTTGAAAGTAATTTTTTTTGGCAGAGTCACAGGGTATGTGCCTTTATGCTCTTTTTCATTTTCTCATTTCAACTGTACATACTTTCTGCTAAATATTATATGACACTGGAAAATGATTTTACCATCCAATGTTTTAAAGGTTATAAAGATTGGCTTTAGAGTTCTCTAAGAAAGTGGAGAAATACAGTGTTATATTTGTAAAACACCTATAAAATAATAGATACTGTTCTTTATTCTGAAATCAAAAATAAGAATAGCACATATTTATCCTACATAAATAACTTTAAAAATATTTTTTGCAGGCAGAAAAAATAATTGGCCACCTCTTCCTGGCAATTTTCCTGTGGGACCTTGCTTCTATCAGGATTTTTCTGTAGACATTCCTGTGGAATTCCAGAAGACAGTAAAGATTATGTACTACTTGTGGATGTGTGAGTACAGAATAAATTATATATTCAATAATTTTTCTATTTTATTGTCAAAACTCTCCTTTTTTTGAACTCATATTAAGGGTAGTATCATTAATTGGTATTTTTCTATAGATTTTCTAATTTTCAGAGTGAAATGTATATTTGGGTACTTCAAAATTTTACTGTGTGTGACAATCTAAGTTCTTAGCTGAAAAAAACCTATATATAAAGAACTGGCATTCTCTTGAGGAAAGATCTTTTCTGTCACATAGGTAGAATTTTGCAGTTATTCCTTTTCCTTGAAAAATCTTCTATGGGCAATATTTGCTTTGAAAAAATAGACATATATTTTTATGTAAATGAAGGCCATTAAACATTCTGTTAAACCATTATGACTATTTTTAAAGGGGCATAAAATATTATAATATTATAAACTGATTTTTCTTATAGTCTTATAGCTTTGAGCATAATTTACACTTCAATTTCAAGTGGGGATGAATACTATTATTATTTAAAGTACCTAATGAATATAGGAGGTTTTATTGAATAGGACATTAGGACATACATTTTAGGTTATGATGCTCAGATTGCTTTGAGTATAATTACAACTTATGGTATACCAAAATAAAAGGTCAACCTGTTAATAGTTTGCTGTATGTACACAGAATTTCCAATTACTCTGTTTTATTTGCATTCCAATCATCTCAGTCCCATTTAATATCATCATGTCAGTAGGAGAGATAGCTGTCACAACTTCTCACCTGCACAACCTCTAGGTTAGTGGATAATTTGTAGGGTGCATTCTTGATGAAGGAAATTTATGTGTGTTTACTGTATGATCAGGGAGCCTTTCCCCCTTCAAATATGAGATAATTTTCCTCAAAATATTTTAGGAGCATTCTTTATCCACCGAGTGGCCAGATTATTATGATCTCTGAATGCATAATAATTGGCCACTAGTGTATATCCTATATACTAAAAGACTAATATGCAAATTGTCCCCTCAACCAGGAGTTCAACCAGCAGGCAGGGCAGCCGGCCAACTGCCCATGTCCCCTCCCCCCGGCCAGGCTGGCTGGACCCCCCCCATGCACAAATTCATGCACTAGGCCTCTAATATATATTATATATAGTATATATATCCTATCTAAAAAGGAGGAATATGGTAATTGACCATCACTCCATCACAAAGATAGCTGCACCCACAGCTGAGGTCATGTTCCCATAAGGAGCCTTAATGAGCAATCAGCAGGGACCTGAGGCTATATCCTCCCCCCCCCTCCCCCCCCCGCCCCCATGGGGCTTGGCAGGGGACCTCAGGCCGCACCCCCTGTCCTGACGTAGGCTGGAGTACCTCAGGTCACACCCCCCGTCCCAGTGCCAGGCCAGGGTACCTGAGGTCATGCCCCCCACCCAGCAGGGCTTGATGGGAGACCTCCAGGTGTGCTTCCTGTCCTGGTGCTGGGCTAGGGGACCTCAGGCTGTGACCCCTGCCTGGCTGGGCTTGACAGGGTACCTCAGGCGGTCCTGTGGTGAGCCCCAGACTCTGACAGGAGGAATGTCTTCCTATACATTTTACCATTTTTTTTTTTTTTTTTATCTCTGACACTTCTATTATAGAGAAAGGGCAAGTAGCAATATTAAATTATTTCCTCTAATTAATCCCCTTTTAATATGCACAAATTTCATGCACCAGGTCACTAGTACACACACACACACACACACACACACACACACACACACACTGAGTGGCCAGATTTATTATGGGTTCAGAGATCATAATAATCTGGCCACACAGTGTATAAGGTGAACTTGCTTTGGAATGTCAGAAATGATTCTTTATGGATAATACATTTTTAACCCTCATTTTGGGTTGGTTTTTGTTGTTGATGTAATATATTTTGTTGAATCCCTCGCATCAGCACATATTATACCAGCATATTGTTAACATTAAAAGTTTTGATTCTGTACATGTACATGCTAACCAACTCATTTTATTTAATCAACATACTCATACATATGAAAATATATAATAATTATTTTTAATAGGCATAAATTGGCTTAGCATTTTAGATATATGTTCTTTGGTTTAGTGAAAAACATTCTGATGGTGGAGATGGGGGTTGGAAGGAATTCAGTAAATAGAAATTGAATGGGGAAGATGATTAATTTTAACTGAATGATTAACTAGTTTCCCAATGCCAATTTGTTTAAAATGGGCCTTTTTAGTCTTAGAAATATATAACTTTATGAAGTTCTTAGAAATGATATAGTTGGCTATATTTTTTCCTAATTCTGTTCAGTTGAAAGATCTGTAACTGTATTCAGAGAGGGCCCAAGATTCCAGTTAAGGTTCTAATTTGAAGAAGTGTTTCCTGGAACAAAATGAGATCTGGTACCAGTAAAATAATGCCTCTAAGTTTCATAGAATAGAAGTATTTAAATACGTTCTTTTTAAGACGTGTCAACTTGTTACTGATTTTAGAGTTGACTAATGCTTTTACACTGTAATCCTATATAATAGAGGTAATATGTAAATTGACCGTCACACTCTCACAAAGATGGCTGCCTACGAGCAGGCTGGCAGGGGGGTTAGTGAGGGACTACCAATAACTGAACAGCAGGCTTCGTGGAGTGACTAAGCCAGAAAGGGGGCTGTGAGGGGCAACCAGGCAGGCAGGGGGGGGGCAGTTAGGGGTGACCAGGCTGGGGGGGTACAGTTTGGGGTGACCAGGCTAGCACTGAGGACAGTTGGGGGTGATTAGGCTGTCAGGAAGGCAGTGAGGGGCAACTAGGCCAGTGGGGGAGGGAGGAGTTAGGGGCAACCAGGCCAGTGGGGGGGGGTGCATTTGGGGACAACCAGGCCAGCAGGGGCGGCAGTTAGGAGCGACAAGGCCAACAGGTGGGGAAGTTAAAGGGGACCAGGTCAGCATGCTTAGGCAGTTAGGGGTGATCAGGCTGGCAGTGGTGGTGGGCAGTTAAGGGCAACCAGGCAGGCAGGCAGGTGAGCTATTAGGAGCCAGCAGTCCAGAATTGTGAGAGGGATGTCCGACTGCTGATTTGATTGGGCCTAAACTGGCAGTTGGACATCCCATGAGGGGTCCTGGATTAGAGAGGGTGCAGGCTGGACTGAGGGCCCCTCCCCCACACAAATTTTGTACATCTGGTCTATGGTGATAATAATAATGAGCAAACATTTATTGAGGATTTACTTTGTGCAAGGCACAATGCTTATCACTTTTATGTATATTACATTATTAAATTGTAACCATACTATGAAGCAGGTACTATATTACTTAGTTTTATAGATTGGGAAACTAAAGGATAGAGAATATGAGTTACTTGTCCAAGATTACACAGAAAGGAAGGTTGGAGTTGGATTGCTTGTCTCCAGAGCCCAGAGTCTAGAGTTACATGTTATACCATCTACAGAGTACCAAAATGAAGAAGTATTTGACATTTTCAACCCAAATACAACAGATATGCTTTCAAAGATACCATACTTAATGTGCTTAGTAAAGCAAATTGAAATTTTATATGAAGAAGAGTCATTCAGCTTGCAAATCAGGTCAACAAAATGAACTAAATATTTCATTAGTATTCTACCTACATTGGAATCCAACAAGTGGTTTGGAATTGGATAGAAATTAGCAATAGAATTATTCATTTCACATTACCTTGCCTTTATGTGTGTTTTTTGATCTCTATAAAGTGGACCAATTGTTTAGTAAGTAGGTCTAATCACTTTTTTCCCCTAAATATATTTTAATGATTTTTTTACAGAGAGAAAGAGCGAGGGAAAGAGAGTTAGAAATAGCGATGAGAGAGAAACATCAATCAGCTGCCTCCTGCACACCTCCTACTGGGGATGTGCCCAAAACCAAGGTACATGCCCTTGACTGGAATTGAACCTGGGACCTTTCAGTCCACAGGCCAACACTCTAGCCAAACTGGTTAGGGCTAAACATTTTACTCTTCATTGGAGTTCAAATAAATGACTTTTTGATTATAATTGTTGGTTACTATAAAAACATTTTGAAAAAGATTTTAATAGATTATACAAACTTAAATTAAAATCTTTTATCTAAACCTGGAAGAATTTCTGTGAACTTTAAAATACTCATACCCATATATTGTCTTTTTTGAACAGATTAGTAGGTAAACCTTTAAAAATTATTTCTCTGAAGGTTGATATTTGACTGAGGATGTTATGAACATTTAATACTTTTTTAGGCAGTTAGATGCCATTTAATGTTAACAGAGTAATAATTTTCAATCTCACAGTCTTTTCAATTCTGATTTTAAGCCCTCCTTAACAGAATTACTTTTATTTTGAGGCAAAGATTTTGAGTAAGTTTGTTAATCAAGCTTTCATGTGAGTTAGAAATTCTAATGGAAATAAAATAATTATTAGTAAGATTCATTCTTGTATAATAGAATGGAATGGAATTTTAAGGCTGGAAGAGTTCCTGTATTTTTATAGATGAAAAATGGAAATACACAGAGATTGATTAGCTCAATAGTATTATACTAGGGGCCCGTTGCAGGAAGATTCCTATAAGCGGCTACCACCGCTGCCCACCCCACCCACGCTTTCCCTCTGGCAGCTGCCTTGCTTTCCCCTTTCCCTCCCTCTTCCTTCTATGCTGTCTTCAGTCTTCACTCCTCCCTCCCTCAGTATATGCAAATTAACCACAATCTTTGTTGGGTTAATTTGCATACTTGCTCTGATTGGCTGTGGGCATGGCGAAGGTATGGTCAATTAGCATTTTCCTCTTTTATTAGTATAGATCACTATTATCTAGATCTTTTCCTCTGGAGTTTTTTCTCCTATTCTAGAGATTGTATATTTAGTTGTTAGATGAGAGCAGATTAGATAAGGCATCCTAGAATGAGTGTTTTTGTCCTGTTTCATTAATCAATACTCTTATTTGATTAATAATTTAAAAGGATTTTAAAGTTGTTGTTTTTTTAAATATATTTTATTGATATTTTACAAAGAGGAAGAGAGAGGGATAGAGAGTTAGCAACATTGATGAGGGAAAATCATTGATCAGCTGCCTCTTGCACACCCTCTACTGGGATGTGCCCACAACCAAGGTACATGCCTCTGACTGGAATTGAACCCAGGACCTTTCAGTCCGCAGGCCGATGCTCTATCCACTGAGGCAAACCAGTTTAGGCTAAAGTTTGCTTTTAATGTGAATTTTTTATTTAGATTCATTAGGTTTTTAATTTTATTCAACTAGTAGTTTGTCAGTATACTTTTATTGTATTGATAATTTGCATTAAAATTATTTTAACTTCTGAAAATATTTATTTTCTATAATAAATGCAGCCAGTAATTTTTGAAAGTGCTTAAAATTATTATAATGGGTAAATGTTGTTTTTAGGATTATAATGTTATCCAGATTTTTTGCTTTTGGTCTGTCAGGGAAAGTAATTATTAACAACATATGAAGAGTTTGCCAAGATCTATTCATGTTAACTAAAGAAAGGTCTTCCAATGGAGCTGAAATGCATCATAGTGTACTTTTTTTCTTTAATATGTGTAATCCTCTACCAAAACAGTTTGAATCCCAGGACTTAAAGAATGTACAACTCAGTGAGGATGAATTAATAATCCTTACAGATTGACTTTTTACTCACTGGGAATTTCTACTGTATTGATTATTTTTAGCCCAATGATTCCAATTTTATTGTTTAAATGTGTCATGATGAGATTGCACAGGGCACTTCTCTTTTGTGAATAATCTGCTCTGACAGATATCTGCAGACCCACTCTGTAAAAATATAGTTCTGAGTGTAGGATCTTTTTCATCCCAAGTTTTGGTTCTTTTCCTGGCAGGCACTACTTTCTTCCTGAGCCTTCAATCAAGAGACATATCACATGTTTCCTTCTTAGGGTAGAGGCCCTTTAGGCAGTACCTCTCTGGTTTACCTGTGTAATTGCCCTTTAAAAAAAGGCCAAAAGAATTTTTGCCAAACAGTGCATGTATTAGGACTCCTTTTCCTGTGATAACTCTATTTTAAAATCAAATGCATAAGAAACAGCAATGTTTTGAAAAATACTAAATGAAAACATGGTGTAAAATACATTCGCTCTTGGGAAGTATTTTTTTCATTTATAATTTTTGTTGAATGAACCTCATAAACTGATTGTCAACATTTTTTTTTCTATTTTGTTTTTTGATTCTACAGTCCATACGGTAACACTGTTTCTAAATATCTTCGGATGCTTGGCTTGGTTTTGTGTTGATGCTACAAGAGGGGTTGATTTTGGATTGAGTATCCTGTGGTTCTTGCTTTTTACTCCTTGTTCATTTGTCTGTTGGTACAGACCACTTTACGGAGCTTTCAGGTAAAATGTGTGTACTTTAAAATATGCTCTTTAAAATATGTGAAGTAAATACTCATGGTACACTTTAACAGTAAAATTGGCATTTTCATTAAATTTTTTTTATTGTATAACACCTTCAGAAAAATCTATATATCATATTCATGTGTATTCAATCACAAGTGGTCATTATAGCCTAAATCTTAAATGAAACTAGGTAATGTAAATGTAAGTAAATTTAAAGTGAATCACTTTCACCTAGCAACTTTGTAAGTATGTCTGTGTAAATTCACTTTTGGTTTTCAAAAGATAGCAACATTTAAAAAATATTTAGACTATAAGATGCAGTATAATACTTTGAATGGTTTATTTAATTGTTGGTTAGGAGTAACATTTTCTAAATGCATATTCTGTGGACAATTAGTAGGTGATGTGGGAAAAAATGGTTCATTAGCTTACGTTTGGGAATAGCTGGATAATAAAGTTCAGCAAGTTACTTCATTTTAAGATTTCTTAGACTCTTTAAGAGCCTAGTGTGCTTTATGATTTGACCATGAAACCGTTATTATTATACTTATTATTATTTAGTCAAGCACCTTTTTTGACTTATATTAAGAAATAAACATTGGGAAATGCTGATTTAGATGCTAGCACTGTTTGAGTCTATATATTCAGTTGTTTATCAACTCATTTTTATTTGAATAAACTGATTTATGAATAATGAACCTTTTTCAACTCTCATGAATGAGAAGTAGTGTTACTGAGAATAGGCATGTACCAGTATTGTGCAGATGATACATTAGGGAAATTAGAAGGTCAATTGTATAACTTTTTTTCCATTTCAACATAAAATTTCTTTAACTTTTTTTCCATTTCAACATAACATTTATTTGATTAACTAGAATGTTTACCATCCCCACCTCACACACACAAAATATGGAATTAGAAACCCAGGTATGTATACAGATGGAGTTTGGGGGACAGAAGAAAAGAGAGAAGATTGAGAATTTGGAGAGAAAAGGTGCCACTCAACAGAAAACTAAATTGGTTAGAAATAAAATGCAGGGGAAAATAGGTGAGAGGAGAGAAAATGAGAAAATAACCTTTAGGTATTTATTGAAATATGGGAGTTTGATTGTCAAAGAATAGAATAAGGCAAGGGACCACCATAGATGTGGATTGGAGAGAAATTAAAAGGAACTATTTCCTTCTTTTCCTTGTTATCTAAGCCTGGCTCACAAGGTTTATCAATTCTTAATTTATGACATCAGGACTCTGCCTTCCTACTTTTGTCATGTTACTAGTATAACTGTAATAATACTGGTGAGTGGCAATGGGATGTATCAATTTGAAATTTTAAAAGTGATCTGAGACTAGAGACTTTGGATTTTAAACCTCTGTGACTAATGTAGCCAAACAGACTATTAAAAACCAGTTTTTGCCCTGTCCAGTCATTGTTGTTAAATGGTCAGAGTGGCCCTCAGATGAAGGGTCACAGGTTTGATTCCCAGTCAGGGCATGTACTGGGTTGTGGGTTTGATCTCCGGCCCTGGTCATTGCATGAGTTCCCGGGAGGCAACCACTGAGCCAAACCAGCCGGGGCTCTATGTGTCTCTCTTACATCTAGGCTTTTCTCTCCCCTTCCCATTGCCCCTTCCACACTCTAAAAATATCAACGGAGAAATGTCCTCAAGTAACAAAACAAACAAGCCAGTCTTTTGCCATTTATTACTTAAAGTCACTCATTTCCTTTTATTCTCTTTCTTTGCCAGGCTAGATTTTTAGCTGAATTGCAAGCTTTAGAATATATCACAAATGTGCTAATTATCTGGGTTTTACTATTTGGAGCAGAACTGAGAGGAAAAATTTTTATGGGGAAAGTTAAAAATAGATTATTTGAAATCATTTATATACACTTTATCAGTGTATAGTTTGGAATTTTCTTCACCCAGATTGCCAAGTGTTTGTGAGTTAAAGTCTCTTTGGAAGTACTTAGTAAAGTTTGTTAAACATTTATTCACCACAGATTTCTTCCTTAAATATGAAACTCAAACTAGATACATTAGATATGATTATTTATATTAAATATAGGATTTTTAAAGAGATTTTACTTATTCATGTAGATGCTTTACTAGTATTTGAGATTGGTTTTAATAGAGATTTCTGCCTTTGAGAACGGGCAGTTGGGATATTTAAGGGGTTTGTATTGTATTTTATGAATGATGATTAAGAAATGAAACAAACATCTGAACATACTTTGTAAGTCTGTAGATAATGGGTAAGTAAAACTTTTTAGGCCAGGCATATATATATATTTTAGTCCTCACCCGAGGATATATTTTTAAAAAAATATATATATTTTTATTGATTTCAGAGAGAGGAAGGGAGAGGGAAAGAGAGATTAAAATATCAACGATGAGAGAATCATTGATTGGCTGCCTCCTGCACACCCTCTACTGGGGATTGAGCCCACTCGTGTCCTTGGGAATCAAACCCGGGACCTTTTAGTCCACAGGCCAGTGCTCTATCCATTGAGGCAAACCAGATAGGGCAATATTTTTTCATTGATTTTTATATATTTTTTAATTGATTTTTTACAGAGAGGAAGGGAAAGGAGATAGAGAGCTAGAAACATCAATGAGAGAGAGACATTGACCAGCTGCCTCCTACACACCCCCCACCGGGGATGTGCCCGCAACCAATGTACATGCCCTTGACTGGAATCGAACCTGGGACCTTTCAGTCCGCAGACCGACGCTCTATCCACTGAGCCAAACCAGTTTTGGCTTTTCATTGATTTTTAGAGAGAGTAGAAGAGAGAGGGAAAGACAAAGAGAAACACAGTAATTGGTTGCCACCTGCACACACCTGGACCAGGGCCTGAGCTGGGGAGGAGTTTGCAACCGAAGTATGTGCCCTTGACTGGATTCAAACCTGAGATGCTTCAGTTCGCAGGCCAATGCTCTTTTCACTGAGCCAAACCAGCTAGGGTTATATATGATTTTAAAAGTTAAGTTTATTAGGTATTAGAATTAAACTTGGAGTTGCCATTTTGTCATTTATGTGTGTGTGTGTGTTTAAATATATTTTTATTGATTTCAGAGAAGAAACGAGGAGAGAGAGATTGAAATATTAATGAGAGAGAATCATTGATCAGCTGCCTCCTGAACACTCCTTCCTGGGGATCAAGCCCAAAACCTGGACATATGCCCTGATCAGGAATCAAACTGTGACCTCCTGGTTCATAGGTCAATGCTCAACCAGTGAGACATACTGTCTGGGCTCATTTATATGTTTTTAAAAGATTATAATTATTCTTAATTTTATGCTTCCCCAAATCATTACACATTATGTAAATACTTTAAAATATTTATTAGATAATTATTAATGAGGCAGTGTGTTGTTGAAGAAGTGTAATTATTAGAAACATACTGAGGAAAGGTTAGAATTTGGCTTCTCCACTTAAAAATTGTGTACTCCTAGGAAATTGAAGTAAAAACTCTCAATGCTTCAGTTTGTTGAGTGAAACTTGGTTATAGTATTTGCTGAGTTGGTAAGAGGATTAGAGATAATGTATGCACCATTTTTGGTTTTGTGGGTGGTCAACAGTTCACCAAAGATATATGGATGATAAAAAGCACATGAAATAGTGCTCAGCAACATTAGGTATTAGGAAAATGCAAACTGGAATCAGATGAGATATCACTGTATACCATGTTAGCATGGCTAAAATGTAAAGGACTGATCATACCAAGTGTAGATGTGGAGGAACTGGAACACTTATATACTGCTGTTGGGAATATAAAATGAAATAAATGCTTCATTAAACAGTTTGGCAGTTTCTTCAAATGTTAAACATAAACTTCCCAGGTGTTCCAGAAACAATCTAAATGACTATCAGTAGGTGAATGAATGAAATTGGTCTATCTATACAATGCACTGCTACATAACATTGAAAAGGAAGGAACTTTTGACACATGCAACATGAGTGAATCTCCAAATAATTGTGCTGAGTGATAGAGGCAGACAAGAAACAAGTATATAGTGTATGATCTCATTTATATAAAACTATAAAATATGAAAGCTATACTGACAGGAAAACAGTGGGGAGGGTGGAGATGGAGGGATTACTTACATGCACAAGGAAACTTAGGTAAGTTTATGATTTTTATTGGAGAAGGTTCATGGTTATGTACATATGTCAAACCATTGAACTCTACATTAAATAGGTGCACTTCATTATATGTTAATTATAATTCAGTGAAACTAGTAAAAAAAAAAAAAGGAAAACTACATTTTTTTGTTAAGATGTTTTGTGGTACAGTTGGAAATTGACAAAGTGAAGTTGTAGTAATAAAAACAGTATTATCTAGTCTTTGGATAAAGGTTTCACATAAATTATGTTACTGTAATTTCAAGCCTCAGGTAGTTGCCAATAGTATATTTAAAAGTATTTTATTTTTTAACATTGATTGTCAGTCTGCATGTGAATGTAAAGGTATTAAGAAAAATGACATTTTCTCCTTTCTCTCCCTCCCTCTCCCGCCTTTTTAAAAAAGGAGTGACAGTTCATTCAGATTCTTTGTGTTCTTCTTCGTCTATATTTGTCAGTTTGCTGTACATGTACTACAGGCTGCAGGATTTCACAACTGGGGCAATTGGTAAGTCATTTTATTACTCTAGTTAATCTGTTTATCTTGTATCTTTGTGTAATTTTTGGCTTCCTAAAAATAGTTAACAGAGCAAAACCACATTAGCAAAAGGAAATACATAAAAAATTGCATTTTTTTAGTATTTAATTTTCTAAAGCCTAACCTTTTGAAAAACCATTCTATTTAAAAATTATGTTCTCATTTTTAAAAATGACACATTATATCTAGTTTAAATAAAATGTGTATATCATGGCACTAAGAGGAAATTTTGTAAAAAGGAGACTCAGGAGTGATCAGATAGGAACGCCAAGGATAGGGGAAGGGAGAGAAAAGAAATTCAAGGGTTTTAAGGAAAAGGGACCTAATATATGTAAATCACTATTTTAAGATATACAAACATGTTTTCATATACACACACGCGCATGTACACGTTTTTAAAAAATATATATTTTATTGATTTTTTACAGAGAGAAAGGGAGAGAGATAGAGAGCTAGAAACGTTGATGAGAGAGAAATATCGACCAGCCGCCTCTTGCACACCCCCTACCGGGGATGTGCCCGCAACCAAGGTACATGCCCTTGACCGGAATCGAACCCGGACCCTTCAGTGCGCAGACCGACGCTCTACCACTGAGCCAAACTGGTTTCAGCTGTACACATATTTTTGAAGAGTGGAATCACTGCATACACATACATACTACTACATATATTTTTTTCTTTTTTATTGAATTTATTAGGGTGACATTGGTTAATAAAATTATGTAGGTTTCAGGTATATAATTCTATAATACATCATCTGTATATTGTATTGTATATTCACCAACCCAAGTCAAGTCTCTTTCCATCACATTTATCTCTCCTATACTGACTCTTCTACCTCCCTTACCCCCTTCCCTCTGGTAATCCCTATACTGTTGTCTTTATGTCTATGAGTTTTCTTCTTCTTGTTGTTTTTTCTTAATCTCTTTACCTTTTTTCACCCAGCCCCACAACTCTCCTCCCCTCTTACAGCTGTCAGTCTGTTCTCTATCTGTGAGTCTGTTTCGATTCTGTTTTTTAGTTTATTTTGCTGATTAGATTCTACATATGAGTGAAATCATATGGTACTTGTCTTTCTCTGACTGGCTTATTTCACTTAGCATAACATTCTTCAGGTCTATTCATGCTGTCACACAAGGTAAGATTTCCTTTTTTTTTTTTTTTTTTTAATAGCCAAGTAGTATTTCATTGTATAAATGGGCCACAGCTTTTTTTATCCACTCATCTACTGATGGACACTTCATCTGCTTCCAAATCTGTACATATATTTTTAAATAATATAATCATTCTCTGTATGACAAAAGGTTACTCATTAGGAGATCCTCAGAAATGGACACTATTTGGACCCGGGCTAGGAGGTAATAGAAGCTTTATATCTCTCTTCATACACTCTGGAGTAAACACTCCTTGAATGAAACAACAGGTGGAAAAGATCACATCTCTAAAATTATCCTTCCCTCTCTCCTTTCTTTTATAACTTAAGTTACATGCAGTTGAATTCTTAAAAAAAAAAAATGTGTGTGTGTGTGTGTGTGTGTGTGTGTGTGTGTGTGTGTGTGTGTATTGATTTCAAAGAGGGAGAGGGAGAGATAGAAATATCAATAAGAGAGAATCAGCCCTAACCGGTTTGGCTCAGTGAATAGAGCATCGGCCTGAGGACTGAAAGGTCCCAAGTTTAATTCTGGTCAAGGGCATGTACCTTGGTTGCGGGTACATCCCCAGTAGGTGGTGTGCAGGAGGCAGCTGATCGATGTTTCTCTCTCATCATGCTTCTAACTCTCTATCCCTCTCCCTTCCTCTCTGTAAAAAAATCAATAAAATATATTTAAAAAAATAATCATTGATAGGCTGCCTCCTGCACACCACCTACTGAGGATTAAGTCCACAACCTGGGCATGTTCCCTGACTGAGATTCCAACTGAGACCCCCAGATTCATAGGTGGACATTCAACCATTGAGCCATACTGGCCTGGCACAATTGAATTTTTATAAGCTAAGAGCTTATACTTGGCAAATTTACTGCAGTGTACATAAACTAAAATGAGCATGTAACTAGAGTGTATTGAGGACTTACATTTAGTATGCTATTACTGAATCGGAGTAGCGACTGACAAGCAGATAAATAGCTTTCGGTAGCTTTGCAGATTTAATGCAGATAATATATTGGTATTTTAAGTAGGTTCTAGGAAAAAGTAGTATTCATTTTTTTTTTTTTAATATAAAGATTTTTATTGACTTCAGAGTGGAAGGGAGGAGGGAGAGAGAGATGGAAACATCAATGATGAGAGAGAATCATCACCCACCTGCCTCCTGCATGCCCCCTATTGGTGATCAAGCCCATAATCTAGGCATATACCCTGACTGAGAATTGAACAGTGACCTCCTGGTTCATGGATCAATGCTCAACCACTGAGTCACATAGGCCAGTACATTTATTATCATTTTAATAGTGCTTAGTCTTTGGCATTTGAGGAAATGGAAATGTTTTTTATATTTAATTTAAAAATACTGCTCATGTTAAAAGCACAAGTTTTTTTTTTTTTATGAAATTGAGATAATATCTTACTCTTTAGCACAAACTTTGAAAAAGTGTTAAAATTAAGCACAACAGCATGTATAGTAATGAAATAGCACAGGAATCTACAAGTGAGTATGCATATAGGATGGATCTCATGTAATTCAGCAGATTTAAACTATTTGAGTTAATTGTAGATTCACATACAATTATTAAAAAAATAATAATTCAGAGAGATCCCAAGTACTCTTTCCCTAGTTTCTCCAGTGGTAATATCAAACTATGGTATAATATCAAAACCAGGATCTTGACATTGATTAAGGCAGGACAGAGAACACTTTCATCCCCAAAGGATCCTTCATGCTGCCCTTTTAAAGCCAAGTTCACTTTCCTCCTGCTCCGATTTCCTCCTCAACGCCAGCAATCACTAATTTGTTCGTCATTTCTGTTATTTTGTCATTTCAAGAATTATATAAATGGAATTATATAAATTATATAATTACTAGTATATAAATGGAATTATACAGTGTATAACTTTTAGCTTTTTTTCCCCTCAACATCATTCTTAGGTAGTTCATTCAGGTGGTTGTATTTATTCCTGGGTAGTATTTCATGGTATGGATGTACTACAATTTGTTTAACTAGAGTTTAAGGACTCTAGAGTTCCTAGTATTTGGGCTATTATGAATAAAGTCACTATAAACATTTGTGAACATAAATTTTTATTTCTCTGTGACAAATACACAAGGTTGTAATTGTTGGTTCATATGAAAGTTGCATATTTAGTGTTTTTTAAGAAGTTGAGAGTTTTCCAGAATGGCTGTACCACTTTACATTCCCACAAACTATGTGTGAGTGATTCAGCCTCCACATCTTCACCAGCATTTGGTATTGTCACTGATTTTATTTTACTCATTCTGATAGCTGTGTAGTGATATTTAATTGAGGTTTTAATTTGTATTTCCCTAATAACTCATGATGTTGAACATCATTTTATGTGCATATTTGTGATCCTGGTATTCTCTTTGTGAAATATCTCTTCATGTCTTTTGCCCATTTTCCTATCAATATTTATTTATTTATTTATTTATTTGTTTATTTATTTATTTATTTTACTGTTGAGGTTTGAAAGTTCTTTATATATTCTGGGTGCTAACCCTTTGTTGGATATATGGTTTGTAAATATTTTCTTCCATAATTAGGTAGAATTTAAAATTAACTTTAAAAGAAAGTAATAATGAACTCCTAGGCTTAAAAAATATAAAATCTGGTGGTATACACCTAAGGCTGGAGTTTGATGCCTGAGTTTGAATTCATACTATGTCATTTAGCTGTATGACCTTGGGCAGGTACTGAATAGCTCAGTGACTCAGTTCTTCACCTGTAAAAATAGAGATTAAAAACAGCATTATCTTATAGGATTGTTGTGAGAATTAAATGAGTTAACATGTATAAAGAACAAGAACATTGCTTGGCTCATAAGAACTAAATATATGTTAGTTGTTAATGTTATTTTTTAAATGTGCATTGATTTATTTGCCTGATTATACTTTCTTTTTGTTACTTGATAGTGGTTGGATTTCATCGCTTACTGGTCTCAACAAAAGTATTCCTGTTGGAATCATGATGATAATCATAGCAGCACTTTTCACAGCATCAGCAGTCATCTCACTAGTTATGTTCAAAAAGGTAAATGAAATTTTATGTCTGCAAATTTTTACAGTGAAACTAATTTTCCTATTTTGCTCTTATTGTAACCTCAAGCCATTTTTGTTTTGTTCTTTTTGTGCAAATTTGCTGAGGATTACTTTTTACAATTAATAGTTATGCATAGGTATATTTTTGAAAATTGCATCACATTTTTAACTTCCTGTAAAAAGGAAATATTTTAAAATCCTGTTAACTGAAGGCTTTTTGCAGTAACTGAAGAGTCAATCTTATTTTTAAAATTTGGATTATTTAAAAATATTCTGATCTCTTTTTTGAATATTAAATATATTAGCTTGATTAATGAAGTGTATTGTTTGCATTTTGTTTGTATTTAAAATGTAAAGACACTAAATTATCTAAGGTGTAAAGTGAGCTGGTGACAAGTTCAGGCTGGGTTATGACTAGTGACTGCCCAATTATATATACTTCTTCCTATTGAATTCTTATGGCTGTTTTTACAGCCTTGGAAAAAAAAAATCATTACATAGTGTGGGAGAGAAATCTGTGTTTTTATTTGTTTATATAAGGTTTAATGGTGTTTTATGATGCATTACAGAAATGTTTTCTATTCTACATGTGTTCAAACTTGAGTAGAAACCCTTTGAATAACACCTGTTTTTTTAAAATGGTAGACTTCTGATAGGTCTTACTCTGAAGAAATAAGTCTGTACAACATTTTTCTTTCTTTTTTAATGACCAGTTAATTGAGATATGTATAAGGAGTATTTAGAAATAATTGTACCTTATATTTAAGAACACTCTGCACTTTTGAAATATTTTACTTGTACATTTGCCTTTTGTCCTTCTCAAAACTGTCTGAAGGCTAGACTATTTTTTTCTGTCCAAATTTTGCTATTCATTTTCTCTTATTTTCTGAACTACACACACATAATATTGAAACTCAGTTTTCTAAAACTACTAAATCATAGTTTTGCATTCTTCTTCCTCCTTGAAGCCTGTGCTATAAGTGGCTCCTCTTCCTCAGTCTTCATAATTGTGTTCTGATTCTTCTACCTCTGAGCCTATTCTTTCTCTTTCATTTATTTCTTTGTCCAGTTCATTAGTAAAAGTCTTCTTAAATGCAGCCAGCTCACTGCTTTTTGTGCTGTAAAATCTTTTTTTCATGGGAATTTCAACCTCCCTACATTTTTTCACTTTCTTCTCTGCCTGGATGGCCTAGAATGTTGGAGTTGGAAGAAATAATGCTTTGTATAAACATTTAGTTGCATACTCAGGTGACTGTTTATATCACCAGTTGATTGGCATCATCATCTCACAGTAATGCATCCTAAACTCATAATTTTCTCAGAACTAGCTCTTCTTCCAGAAGTTCTGATTAATATTCAAGAAACACTTATTAAGACTACATATTGTGTCCTGTCCAGTGTGGCTCAGTTGGTTGGAGCGTTCTATTCCCAGTCAGAGCACATACCTCGGTTGTGGGTTTGACCCCCACTGGGATGCATATGGGAGGCAACTAATATCTCTCTCTCTTTCTCTCTCTCTTTCTCTCTCAAGAATCAATGGACATGTCCTTGGGTGGAGATTACAAAAAAAGCAAAACAAAATACTATATATTGTATGATTCCATTTATATGAAATATACAAAATAGGCAAACCTATAGAAACAGAAAGTAGATTCATTAGTGGTTGTCTATGGCTGAGGGTAGGATGAAGAATGACTTAATGGCTATGGAATTTCTTTTGTGTGTGATGAAAATGTTCTAAAATTAAGTTATAAAGAGGATATATTCACAACACTATTAATATACTAAAAACCACTTTAAAAAGCTAAATTCTATATAAACTTTATCTCAAGCTTTTTTTTTTAAAAAAAAGGAATATTTATTAAATACCTACTATAAATAAGGTGATACTTTTTCAGATGGTTCTGTTTAACATTTGTGTCAGCACTTTGACTACTACTGTCAGTGCTTCTATTACTTTATAATTACTTTCCTAGATATTTTTTTACTATCTTTCTGTTTTTCCTTTCCATTTCAAACCTCAGCTAATCCAGAATTTTTTTTTACCAGTCACCCTGCTCCTGCTTTCTTCAGTCCATTTGGTATATAGTTACTATGTTAATCTAAAAAAAGATCTCCAAACAAACCTAGAATTCTGATTTTTAAAGTGGACATGGGGTGGGAAATGGAATTGTGGTAAAGGTGGGAGGTAGAACTAGTCCTTTTCACAGCTCCTGATCCAGACTGTCTACTCCAGTCAAACTGTACTTAATATGCATTCAGTTTCTTAAAAATACATCCTGCACCTTCCTCTGCCCCAGTTCTTGTTCATGCTAGGCTTCTTAACTTTCAGGTTGCTTCATCTCTACTAGTGTTATTTCCAGCATTTGCTCAAATCTTCCTGCCTCTTCTGCAGAATCTTTCTTAGGGATTATGTCATCCTCTGTTTTATTGGGGAACTTGCTGTCTGTATTACACATTGGAATCTGGGCATAAGTCACTTTATGTACCTTACAGTGTACATTTTCTGGGTACCTAGCTTGTTAAATTCCTCCATGGTGTTGTACTGGAATTAAATGAGAAGAGCTATGGAACCACACAACTCAGGTCAGAATTCTGGCATCTTCACATACAGCTGTATGAACTGAAGCATGCTTCTGTAACCACTCAGGTTCATTGTCTTCACCCATTCTCTAAGCTCCATGGCAACGGGACCTAGTCTGTGTCCTAGTCTGTGTCCTTTCAGGCTGTATTCCTCACATTTAGAACAGTGACTGGCAGTGATTGACATGTGATAGGCATACACACACACACACACACACACACACACATAATGAAAAAAGGAATGAGAATAACTTATTTTTATAGGGTTGGTGTGAGGATTAAATAAAATAATGAATGTAAATTGCATAGCACAAGGCCTCAATTAAAATTAATATTCTTTTCTTTAGTTTTGTTAAGTAGGTGCCTGTATCAGTCAGTGTTCCATCAGAAAAACAAAACAGAATATAGCTGTTTATTGAGATGAATTGACTTATGTGGTTGGCCAGATCAGTCTGAAACCCACAGATGGGCAGTCGGGAAGGGTTGTAAGCTCAAGCAGAAACTGAAGCTCTAATCCATAGGTGGGATTTTTTTCTTTCTCAGAAAAACCTCAGTTCTATTCATAAAGTGCTTTAACTAGATCAGGCACACCCAGATCATTTAGGATATTCTCTTTTTTCAGAGTGACCTGATTATAGATGATAATCATATATGCATAACACCTTCACAGTAACACCTAGATTAGTGTTTGTTTGGTAACTGGAGAGTATAGACAGACCATTATTTTATTATTTGGACAATTCTTTTATTATTCCACATATATCATGGGGGAATGCTTTCCAGAGTGATTTAGTGTCCATTATGTGGCCAAGTACAGGAAGCACACAGGAGGGACATCTAAGTTTTGAAGATCTCTTTTAGTAGTGAAGTCTTTTTGTATTGTCTTGGATGAGATATCATGATGAAAAGGAGTTCCTAAGTAAAGGATTAAGGGGGAAGAAGAGGATAAGTAGGTACCAGAGAGCAGGGATATCTAGTTGCAGAGAATAGCATGGTGTATTCAGGGAATTCAAAGTAGTTGAGAATGGATGGGAAATAAGCTTGGTGCTTGAGTCCTGCGAGGATAAGGTGACCAGACATCTCACTTTTGGCGGGACAGTCCCGATTTTTAACAATTTGTCCCGTGTCCCGTGGCATTTTGAAACAGTCCGATTTTTGGAAAAGAACTGTTCTAAAACACCGCGGGATACGGGACAAATTGTTAAAAATCGGGACATCTGGTCACCTTATGCAAGGAGAAAGTGAGCTGTTGGCGGTAGAGGAGATGTAAAGATGAGGCTAAACACATAAGTGTACTTATATTCTATAGGTCTTGTAAACTAGGAAACTTTGTTAAGAAATTTGGATCTTGCACTAGTCTATTTGGCTTGGTAGATAGAGCGTCGGCCTGTGGACTGAAGGGTCCCAAGTATGATTCTGGTCAAGGGCACATGCCCAGTTTGTAGGCTCCATCCCAGTCGGGGGCGTGCAAAAGGAAGCCAATCAATGATTCTCTTTCATCTTTGATGTTTCTATCTCTCTCTCCCTCTTCCTTCCTCTCTGAAATCAATAAAAAAAGAAAAGAAAAAAGAAAAAGAAAAGAAATTTGGATCTCCTCCAAAGAGCAGTGGTAAGCCATAAGAGGTTCAAAGAGGAGAGTAGTTGAATTGATCGGATTTGAGCTTTAGAAAAACTATTCAGAAGTAGATTTGGAATGTGCTTACAACCCTTCCTGACCGCCCATCTGTGGGTTTCAGATTGATCTGGCCAACCACATAAGTCAATTCATCTCAATAAATAGCTATATTCTGTGGTGGGAATGTGTGGGGTACTGATGTGGTACTTAGAGAAATTAAGACTTGGAGACAGCTAGGGAACTGGTTACTACTAGGAAGTAATGATGGTAGCCTAAATCAAGACAGTGGCAGAAAAATAACCATAGCACGGGGAAAATGAGCAGGTAGTGATTGATTTGACTTGGGCTTGGAAGTGGGGGATAAGGAAAGACTCAAGGATGACACCCAGTCTTTTATTTTATTAAAAAAAAATTTATTTACTTTTACAGAGAGGAAGGGAGAGGAACAGAAAGTTAGAAACATCGATCAGCCCTCTACTGGGGTTGTGCCCGCAACCGAGGTACATGCCCTTGACCAGAATTGAACTTGGGACCTTTCAGTCCGCAGGCTGATGCTCTATCCACTGAGCCAAACCGGTTTCAGTGACACCCAGTCTTTTAGATGGTGGGTCATCCAGTAAGAGAGCATCAAGATGTTTTCAACTTTACACATGGAGAGTTTAAAATTCTAGAGGGGCCTTAAAGTATAATTAATCACTTTGTAGGCTTTTGGATAATAAGTTGGGAGCAAAGGAAGCTCTTTAGGCTGGATTTCTAGGCTAGGGAAGTATTGACTTTTTTTTTTTTTTTAAATA